CTTCTGGTCCAAAATTACCAACCTTTAAGCGCTCTTCAGTAATTTTATTGGTAGGTGTGAATTCTGGTGGATGCGGAGTGAGCGGAGTTTTGTATGGATCTCGAGACAAAGGTGGTCGCTTTAGTGGTGGATTTAGTAGTTGCGGAAGTGGTTGATTAATTGGTCGAACTTTCTTCCCAACTGGTTTGTACTTTTTCATGCACCACAAGTTCCCTTCCTTCCAATTCTGACATAAGTGCTTCTGGAACGTCCACCCAAGTCCTATTCCCAACAGGTCGTGGATGTTCTTGCTTGGTTCCATCCTCGTAACTGATTCTTTTATGATCTGTTTGGCAAGGTTTTATTGTATTACAGCTCCTTTGTATTGTGAGCAGGTGAGTTGTTCTTGTCTGCTGTGTTCTTCTTCCCATCTTTTCTCGTGTTTGTGTTCGTGTTCCTTTTTACCTGTTTTACATAGTCTTAAAATTGAGTCTGAAATATCAGTGAGTATTATCTTGGAAAAAAATTGCATCAGCTTAAAAATTGTTTTGGTTAGTTTTGTAATTTCTTGTAAGATAAGAAAAAGAAAAAATAGTAGCCAGTCAAAGAACACCGGCGCCCAGAATTCAACTCACTTGACTAGCTTCAGTGAGTTATCCCTCAATTGGACGCCGGAATTCATAAAAAATGCTGAATAATACTCTTTTTGAACATTCAATCCTTGTCGTTTGGCGGTATATTGTTGTCCTGTAACTTCACGCTATTGGTACTGAGGTCCTTCTTATTATTCCAGCCTCTTCCTTGGCCTGTTCTTGCTAATGGTACTGACACCCTTCGTCCCTTTGTTCCTTGAAAAGATAGAGTTTCACCGTTTTTGTGATATTCCAGAGTGCATCTGTAGTTGAATAAGAATGGTTTCCCCAAAATACAGTCCTGAGCCTTGGGCGAAACAAACAGATGTGCTGGTCCGGAGAATCTTCCAATTCCAATTGGACAATTTTGAACTACTCCATTCAAGTCACATCTTCCTCCCCCAACTCCTTTCATTGGTATATCTACTTGTACTAGTTCCAAATCCAGGTCTTCTGCTACTGATCAAGGCATAACGTTCATCATGGATCCGGAGTCTACCATAAATTCCACACTAGCTCCCCCAACTTTGGCTGTTACATATCCTAGGGTGCAGCTATAGTAGCAAGGGTCCGAGGGATCTTCTATTTCCGGAGTGGTCATGGCTGCTGAGACTTTTAATTGTAGCTTCTGTAGTGATATAGGTTGTACTGCTTTTTCCTGGGAGTTGATTCTGAAGTTTTGCAATTATTTGTTCCGTATAGGTTGGTGAAATAGCAGTGATTTGTGCAAAAGTTGTTGGGATCTTCAAATGATCTAACTCCTGTAACAGAGCTTCTTCTGGTGTTGCGGCCTTGACCTTATTAACTGGCTTTTCTTTGCTCCATACTTTCTCTACCACAGGTGTTTTAGGTGTTCCCTCCGCAATATCGGCAATCTCCTCTTCTTGATCCACGTCCATTGCGCCCCTTTCCGGTTCTTGAATCCAAACACTGTGTCTTCCTCGTTGGGCCTCAGATCGAGTAATTGCGTGATTGGCTAGAAAATTATCTGCTCCCAGTTGTGGTGGATCCCAATCAATAGTTTGAGCTGAGGTTTCCATTGTAGTAGGTGCTTGAGTTTTGCCTGTTCTACGGGATTCTGCTAATTTCTTTGCTGCCTCCTGCATTTTAGGGTCTGCTGATGCTGTTGCCACTACTGTCCTAATGGGTCTTGATGGATTCCAGGGTATGTGTTGGCCGTCAGGTAGATACCAGTCCCTGCCAGTACGCTTGACTAATCCTAGATCCTCATCTTTTGCTAGCTCTGGGCATTGGTAAGTTGCATGTCCTTCCCTCTTGCAGTAATAGCAAGCTTGAGTTTTGTATAGCGGTGTCGAGGGTTTAGCATTTCCCTGCGAGAATTCTGATTTTTTGTTAGATCCGGATTGATTGTACGATACTGGAATTATACTCTTTAATTGGGACTTGAGTGAAGCAATTTCTCGAGCCATCTCGTCTACCTGTTTATCCATGGCTTTGCCCGTAGGTGCTTCCGCAATCATTTGATCTCTTCGTTGACTGTTTCCTTTCTGCGTGTTCAGTTTATTCTGCATTAATTGATTAGATTCACCAAATCCTGAGATGTTAAAATATCCGGGTTCCACGATCCGTACTTCCAACCTTGATGCTTCAACCAAGTCTTCCCAGCGTGGCGGTAAGTTGCTTCCATCCGGTCCCTTTGGAAGTAGTTCATAACTAATTAAAGTACATTTGATATTCATTTGACTTTCCCGCGAGAATGCACTCAAGAAGAGTATTGATGCATCCGACTTCTGATGAATTTGCTTGTTGGTCACTAAGTATTTAAGGATGGTGGTGAATTTTCCTAAGTACGATTTGAATTCCTGATGATCCTTGATTCCGCCATTTACGCTGTATTCTTTGGTGATATCCACTAGGTCGTTGGTTGTGTACAAGATCGTATTATCCAATTCTCCCCAGGTTTCAACCATTTCCTTTCGTAATTTCACCCATTCACATTTCTCAAACCCGTCCATGGCTTCTAGTTGGATCTTGAGCTCCTCGGTTTTCATGAATCACCCAATTTTTAACTCCTTGTCGTAGTCTGTTGCATTGAAGGCTCTAGCTGCTTGTTCAAACCGCTTCAGGAATGTTCCAAAGTTGTCACCATCGTAAAACAGTCCGGGTTCCTTGATAATCCTTGGTGCGACTTGAGGGATTGGTTGTTGATTTGCTGGTTGTTGTTGCTGTTGTCGATTATACACTGGCTCATCTGCATTCTGAGGGTTGTGAATTCCATATCCAGACAAGGGAGGTAAGTTTTGTTTTTGAGGTGTAATGTCGCCTGAATCTGAGTCCTCCTCCGTTATATCCCGTATTTCACTTGCTTTTCCCTTTCCTTTATCCTTTGGTGGTGGCAATGTAGTTTCCGGATTCCAATTGATGATGAGATGGACTGGAGACAAGAGTGTTGGAATGGATGAAAGATTCACATCAACACAGAGAAAGAGAAAAACAAAGAGAAGATGAAAGAGAGACATACCTGGAGACAAGAGTGTTGGAATGGATGAGGAAAAAGAGAACATCCAAGCACTGATGTCTCCAGTATAAGAACTAAAGAAAACATGAAGAATGTCACAGAATGTGACATGTGAGAAGTGAAATCTGAAGAGAGCACAATAACAACTGTAGATATGGAAACAAGCAGTGAACATGTCACAGATAACTCAACAATTGAAAGCTGAAGATGATCCTGAAGGTTGATCAAAAATTTGGTTCCTGAAAGGGGTTGACGATGCAAATCCATCTTCCAAATCTGGTGTACTGTACGGTAGACTCATGTTGATTTTGATTGATTTTCCTAGTTTTCCTTACTTGACACTCCTTCGATACCTAAACAAACGGCTGCTCTGAAAAAGAAACAAATAATACTTTGGTCGCTGGTTTCTTTACCAGGGCAAGCTTATAGTCTTCTTTAAAAATAATAGATCAGTTAACACTGGGAAGTTCTTCTTTTACAGAACCTACTTATCCAAATTCCTCGGATACCTTTGCCCTTCTTTTGGTATCTAAGCAGCTTCTTTCTTTGAATAGTTCCTGAGTTGTCTTCCAACAGTATCTTAGTTATCCAGATCCTTTGGTCTCTTGCCTTCTTCTGGTCAATAACTGGCTGTCTTCTTTGAGTCCTCGTTTCAGTCAATTCCTACGCTTTCTTTTCAGAGGTCGGTTGGTTATGTCGTTGAATTGTTATTGAAGGTTGACTAGTTGATCAACAGAATAACTGAATATGCTGCTGAGTTGTCCAAATTTGTTTGATGAATTCGTTCCGTTTTACCGCTAGAAGTAATGATCCTTTGTCGATGTCTTCGTTGATTTCTTCTTCTTTCGTTTAGAATCGGTTATACAATGTCACTCAAAGGTTTATCCTATCACGTTGGGGACTCCCTTGTAAGACTCAAAAGTGGTTGTGAAAACCCTTTTGCTGAATGGATAAGGGGATGGTGGAGTTGCAAGCTCTGCCCTTCTATGCTATCAGAACAACAAGACCACCAAGATCAGCTTGGCAGTTTATATATCGTGATAGAGGATAGTTTGAGATGAAGCTGTCGAATGATACGTATAACGGTTAAAGGTGTTGATGGTGATTGTTGATGATGTTGTTGTTGATGAAGTTGTTGATAGAGGTGTCAATGATTGTTGTCAAGGTTGAGGCTTGAACGCAGGTCCTTGAGGTTGAGGGTATATAAAGTTAAAAAGAGGTGATTTGGAACCAAGGCGCTGGGCGCTGGGAGCACTATGCTTCAACCAGGAATGGAACAGGGGACTGGGCACTTGGTATGATGATGATGATGTGAAAGTGTTATGAATATATTGCGATAAAATAAGGGTGGTTATATAACTGTGACCTGTAATATAATGGGTGGTAATTGTAAGGGTGGTTGAGATGATCTGGTCCACTGGTGGGATGATGAAAGGTACAACTGGCAGGCAGAGGCCTCCTTATATAGACAAAAGTGAGGGATTTTAGCTCCAGGGTACATGCAGGTGAGGGAATTTAGCTGGCCTGTAAATACAATGAGGGAATTTAGCTAGTCTAGTGCATGCAGGTGAGGGAATTTGGCTGGTGAGAGCACTGCCTTGAGGGATTTTGGCTAGCCTACAAGGTCCTACTACAAAGGAATGCATGTGCACCTACAAAGGAATTCAATATGGAATATAAGCCAGTAAAGGAATTCAATATGATACAAAGGAATTCAATATGAAATATGCATCCAGTTATTCAAAATGAGACGTGGTTAGAGTAAATAAGCCAAGAGATATCCTGTGATAGATTGAGATAAGTGTAATTTCTGAACTAGTAGAGATAAGAGGGTAGTTGTAGTGAGTGATTAAGGGTTATTTTAACTCAGGAATCCATTTTTGATGTTATTTTTTCCATACCTTCAATATTTATAGAGATAATAATAAATTTTTATATTTTTGGCGTAGAAACACAGGAATAATTACCACAGCGGAGGTGGCCTTCTGGAGACTGGATAAGCCTAATTTGCCTGTGCAGTCCTGTGGGAAATAAAAATCAGTAAACTTCCATTTTTTTTAAAAAAAGGCTCTTACCGGCTTCTGAACAAAGTAAGGGCAAGCAGCTTCAACATCAACAACAATCTTCAAAAATAGCTCTCTCCTCATTTGGAATCGTCGCTTGAAATCAGTATCGGAGTAAGTCGACCCTTGAACGAAGTAATCTTGCAAGAGTCTTTGGTGTCCTTCAAGATGACTTCTTTCTTTGTTTGGTCGGCGTTGGGCTCGGCTTTTCTCTTCTTCTTCTTCTGTTTCAAGCTCTTTGAATATATTGATTGAGTCTTCATCTTCGTCTTCCATGTCCCAGTCGTACAGTTCTTCCATTCGACGGCGTCGATTACCGATGTGGTTGGACATAGCTAATTTGATCTAGCTAGTGTGGCTTCACTGTTACCTTCAAACCAATGTGGTTGAGGCAGCGGCGGTAAGTTATTATAACTTATTTCCAATTTTATCCGCGCGCTAACCTACCAACACCGATAATGATGTTCTCAATGAGGAAAACTTCTCCAGCTGGTGAACTCGCATCTCCGCACTCTTCAAACTTGGCGGAGTTAAAGATCAAATGATTGCGGGTGAGCCAGCACTTGAGGACAACAAGAATACTATGCTGTGTGCTATTATCATTGCCAAAATCTCTCCAGCAACTCATAGAAACGTTGTGAACGCAACAAACAAGGTCAACACCCAGCTCCTGTGGAAAGCCATCCTAAAACGGTTCATCTCATCCAAACCATCCAACCGAGCTCGTGTGTACAACTCCTTTGCCAACATCACGTTTGACGTCAGCAACATAGAAAAATTCATAACCGAAGTAAGGAGCTCCATTGTGAAGATGGAAGATGTCAAAATAAAACTTCCTGAAGATATTTTCACCTACAATCTTCTCAGACAACCCCCCAGCAGTCTGGACAACATCAAACAGAGTATTACTCATTCTAAATATGGCAAAGAAATCAATCCGGAATCTCTTCTGAATCACCTCAAAATCCACCTCAACAAACTCAAGGTGGCAATTGCAAGCAAGGGCAAATCGGTCACCACTACCATATTTACTAAGGAAGGTGTGTTGATAATCGCACTCCTACCCCCTCCCCGCACGCCCACGCCCCCGCCCCTCGGAAGCGTGTTTTTTCAATGAAACATGCTTCCGAGGGGCATGCAGAAGAAGCCGCCCCTCCAGGAGGGGCGGGTGGGCTTGCACGCCAGCCAAGAACCGACATAGGTTGGTTCTGGCCTGGTGGGTAGATTAAGCAAGGGGTGTGTGCTTTGACCCGCCCCTCAATAAGCTCGGAACCTTACCAATACGATATCGGTAAGGTTCCTGTCTCTCAACCTTACCGATCTCGTATTGGTAAGGTTCCTGGCTTTGATTACGTGAGCAAAACATCCAGGGATGTTTTGCTCACGTCAGCGAGGCTTCCTCTCCTCCTTGCGAGGAGAGAGAACTTTATTGATATCAAGTATTGATATAGTTCTCTCTCCTTCCAAGGAGGAGAGAGACAGGCCGCTTACGTGATTAAAACACCCTGGGAGGTTTTGATCACGTAAGCGGCCTGCCCGGTTCTTTCCTCCCCCTCCATTTTTTTCTTTCCCTCCAAATCCAACCACAAACCACCTTGACCAATGGGTGGTTGGGGAGGTACTTGGGTTGGTATAGCAATTGCACATCTAGCAACGCTATACAACCCGAGGGGGGGAAAGCTATATTTACCTCCCCTTTAGCACCCCCGGTGGCAGGGGAGGTAAATTTAGCTTACCCACGCAGTTTACCTCCCCGGGTGGAGATGGTCTAACTTAACAAAGTCCTCGCGGTGCAGGAGGTTGGATTTGGGGTGGCAAAGCCACCCCTCCCGCAGGGAGGGACTTGTGACTAAAGCAGGGGTACTTGCCTGAGAGGATCTGGAAACCTTGTCAAGTTAGTGACCTTTAGCTCTCTCACTTTTTGAGCCAGACATGTGTTTCTGCTGGGAAAGTTCTTTGTTAGAACCTTACCTTTGCTTCTTCCAACTCAGTTTTGCAAGAAATTTTGTGAAAAAATAAAGCAAAGAAGAAAGATGACTCACAAATTTCTCATGCTCAAGCCTGCAGGCTCAAGCGCAGAAGGGTGGATAATTTCTTGACTCCATTCAATATCCATTTAAGATAAACATGTTGTTATTTTGACAGGCTGACAAGTTCTAAAAATTGACTCGATACACAAGAGTCAACTGGTGCTAGCTGAGACAGACAGCTTGTAAACTACAGGCTGGAAAATTCAAAGAGTGAATTTTCAGCCTTTTTTTGGTGAGTGGGCTCAGGTGAGCACCCCTGCATAGTTTGCAAGTCCCTCCCTGCGGGAGGGGTGGCTTTGCCACCCCAAATCCAACCTCCCGCACCGCGAGGACTTTGTTAAGTTAGACCATCTCCACCCAGGGAGGTAAACTGCGCGGGTAAGCTAAATTTACCTCCCCTGCCACCGGGGGTGCTAAAGGGGAGGTAAATATAGCTTTCCCCCCCTCGGGTTGTATAGCGTTGCTAGATGTGCAATTGCTATACCAACCCAAGTACCTCCCCAACCCAGCGGTTTCACAGGGTCATCCTGGTGAAATCCGGACTTCCCCCCCTCTGTGGGAGGGCCTTTCACAAACCAGGAGTGTGGATAGCACCAACACTGCCACAGATACAGTATCTGCCCGTATCTGCCATGTATCACTATGTATCTGAGCCCCAATAAAAAAAAACTATCTGACCAATCTGCTTTTATTTGCAACAAATTTGGTTTTTGGCCATGCAGCTTTGCAGAATTCTCCATGATACACACAGCGTATCGTATCTGTGGCAGCGTTGATAGCACCCTGTGGTGGAAAATAATTTTTCTGAGGGTTGCTATCTGTCCGCCGCAGTCCCCGAGTTCATAAATTTACCAACTCAGATGACTCTGCGCGGTGGAGATGGTCTTAGTTGAACTACGCCATGACAAGTTTTATAATTTCTGATCCGGTCATGCAAGCACAATCCAACTATCTGAACCAAGAGGGAAAAACAAAATTTATTGCAATTTGCCAAGATATAACTCTCAAAGCATGTCCGCCTTCGAATAGAGGTAGGAGTCTCATTATTGCTGCTAACAGAACAATTCTTTTTCTAAACAACCAAGATGCTAGGCTAACTTTCAGTAACCTTATTTCTTTACAAGGAATTGATGTATTGTCTTTTCAGATAAGCTTGGAGCCTCTCGAGTTTTTTTATTTTTGTGATGCATTAAAAAGTCTGTTTTATCTTCTTTTTTTCACGGATTCCGTCATATGTATCCCACCTTTTGCTTCTCCCTCCCCGGCCCCTATCCAGCGACCCAATGCCCAGCCATGAACTCCCCTCCCAGCCTGGTCGGATGTAGCAAGGGATGGTTGGTAGACGGTGGGATCAGGGTAAACTTTGCACCCTGATTCCAAATATGAGCTTCATTTTGCCAGAGCTCTTCTTAGAAAGAAACTAAGGCTGGATTGCAGTGTCAGGTCTTGGGTCGGATTGCATACCTGTCCAAACCCAAACCTGTAAAATCAAAGTTTTATATCCAAGGCATGGGATCTGCCTGGATCTGCCAAAACAATTTTTTTGCAAATGGTTCCAAGTTTCTCTGAAAAGACAATAAATATATTTGAAGTTCAAAAGTGTGAAATTTCACCCCCAAACCTTATGACCTCAGGCCGCGAGGTCGCTTTATCATGAACCCTTCCTTCAGAGAGCGTCCCTTCGGGACGGCAAGCGGAGCCTCATTTGTTTGATCTCACCAAATTAACATCGTAGTTAGATAGGGAACTGTTCCTTTGAGCGGTGAAAGCCCTATGAAGCGTATTTTGATTCGGGTATGACCATACCGTCCCACCGCACTTGACTCATGAAGAAGGAAGATCATATTTATGTAAGAGAAACGGACCGAAAGTTTGCGCCCATGGTAAGGGTTTTGGGTGAGAATTATCATAAATATGGATGTGTTTATTTCAGTTTACAACAGACTTCAAATTTTTTTTTATACATACACCGATGTGTGTCTACTTATCAACACCCACCTATTGTCTTGTTTTTTGTTGAGAAGGATACAAGTAGAGAAAAATATCTAGCGAGATATACATGTAGTTTATTTACTGTTTGATAAGAATACATCAAGTACAAATACATTACAAAGGAAGAAAAGAGTCAGAAAGAGAGAAGTACTTTGTTTCAGATTTGAGCTGTTTTTGAATGTGTGTATATTGGTGTGTGTTGGTGCTTAAAGTTTCATGGGTCTGATGGAGGAAGAACAGGAGCTAGCAGAGCAATAAGAGGGGCCCGAGTTGGTTGGGAAGTCCTCAGAAAACCTAGTAGATTGTGAGCGAGAGGACGAGGAAGGAGGGTGTCTCTTAAGAGAGTGGATGGAGGAAGGAGGAGGAGCAGAGGAAGAGGAGGAAGAGGAGGAGCTAGAAGAGGGGGAGGACTTGAGAGAGAGCTCGGATGCCCTGTTCGAAAGGTCTTCCAACAAGCTCTCCTTGGACGCATGACTGGTCAGGCCTTGTTCAATCAGATTGCCCATCAGTTTTTCGATCTTTTCCAAACTGCTCAAGACGCTATGATGATCACTTGAGCCCATCCGATCGGGCCCATCGGCCCGGTCGGTCGTCGTCGAGTCGGTTACAACTCGCCCGTTCGCCGCCCTTCCCTCGGCCGCGACCGGCTGATCGGTGACTCCAAGGTCGCTGGGTAAGATAATCGGGCCATGGGGATGCCAAGCCCTTAGCGAAGATTGGATGGCTTCAGTTAATTCGCCGATTTTGCGGCTCAATAGACCTGTATGCTCATTTGTAGATTCTGATTGTGGAGTCTGAGAGCTGGTCTTGGAAAGCAGAGCCGCTTGACGAATACTGTCTTGCTTTGACAATTGATGATATTGATCGTATCGGTTATTTGAAATTTCTCGATGATGATCGTTAACTGATTGAATGTTGAAGGTAGGGAACAAAGAATCCGATCTGATAGTTTGCTCGGGTAAAAGGGTGGGTGTGGGAGAGTTGGTTGGCTCTTCGGCTTGCGAAGAGATGCAAGTTGGCTGATGAGATTGAGGCTCGACCAAAGATTCACCAAGCGACTGGGTATGTTCAAAGCTTTCAGTGGCGGGAGTGACGACCTCGCCCCTTCGCAGGAATGTAGAGACTCTGATCTTCATTTTGGACGAGGATGGTGATCCAAGGGCGCAATAGAACTGAGCGGGGCATGCGGGCGGATAATGGTCAAAATGCTTGAGACGATGACCGTTGAGACTATCATAATTCATACGAGAGCTGTTCATGTGAAGGAAGCTGTCGGAGGACCTTCGAGTTGGACTGCTGGGGTCGGGAAGCGACAGTCCAACTGGTGACCGATTGGACTGCCGGCTTGACGGAAGTTCCTCTGGGTATTCTGGATGGGAAAAGACCGAGGCCAGTGGACCAGGCGCGAATGGGAGTGGGTGATGATGCGTGGGGGGATTCATGAGAGGGATGCGGTGATCGCCGGATTCTTGAGAAAGCCATAGTTGACGAAAGCTAGCCTTTAAGCTGTCTAGGACGGATGCGAGTTCACTCCGTTGGACTAATGATTGCGTTAGTTCTTCTTTTAATGCAATATTCCTCGCTTCCAAGTGTTCAAACCAGTTTAGAATCTCTCGAACGGACAAGAATGGGCAACGAGAGTCATCAGATAAAACCGCCGAGTCTGAGACAGCTGGTAAATGCTGATGGTTGATCACTTCAGGTGTTCCCACAAACGAACATCCAAACCTCTCGAATGGGCAATGGCTCAACTCAGGTTCGTTTTTCGCAGTGGTAGCTGTAGAGGTCTAAGGAGAATACCCGAGAGATGGATGAGTTGAGATCAGAGAATGTTGGGATAGATAAATAGGTGCCGCTGCGAACTAACCATCTGAGCGAGAGATGTGGAATTTTGATCTTGCGAGTTAGCTATCAAGGTAGCTCTACCAGAGACCCATTGAAATCTCAATTGGTGATTTGATGTGGTTGATGGATGTTGATCGAGCGAAGGCCGCTGGGCAAAAGTTTCCTTCGATAATGGTGGATCTTGACCCTGTGAGACAGGAGATGAGCCAAAGTCTGGATGATCAATTTGAGCTTGATGGGAGCGAAGGTGTGCGGCTATGAGGTCGCGTTGACAGACAAATGGACAGCCGAGTTTGGACTTGAAAGGACAAGACACTAGAAGTTCGTCGACCAGCTTATTGATAATCTTGGGGGCCGGTATGACGAGTGAAAGAGAAAGCGGTAGACGATCGATGGGACAGGTTGGAGAGACCTCTAACGACTTGATTAGGCACTGAATTAAAGCGGAAAAAGATGGAATGTGGTCAATAATGAATAATTGGCAATATGATGGAAGATATTTCAATCGACTACATAGGCGATGGGGACCTACTACTCGACAGAAGACGTGGTCGGTTGATTCACACATGACCGGATCGATGAATGGATTCCTGAGGGATCGAGAAAAGATGCTTGAATCAGTATTTGAAGTTAGCTTTGCTTGTATGGTTGGGACGATACTGACCGGCAGATTGGGCAGATCAAGTTCTCGTTTGGTTCCGCCAGATAGTCGTAAACATCGTCGTCTGATGGTGATACTGATTCTGATTCCATTGAGGATGTTGATGGTTGCTGGTTGAGTTTTTTGGTAGAAGAATGGTAACAAGGAGCACAGCATACAGGATGGATGGAAACGGATTCGGGGGAGTGGATGCCACGGGGCCCGTGGAGCAGCACTGGAGGCCTCATGTCACATCCCCCGGGGTACTCCCAGACCCCCTCGGCATGGTGCTTCGGGCATATCAAATTTGCCCATCGCTCTCCTTTGTTGAGACACTAAAATCACTGACTCTTTGGCTCTCAATCAACTTGCATTCAAGTTTACGATGAACTCGACTTCTTGATCACCAATTTTCTTGTTTCACTTTGGCCCTTGTGGTTTTCAACACATGGCGGTAAACCAGAAAACAAAATGGCCAATCAACCAGCAGCAGAAGGAAATTGTCCCTTTCATTTTCAATCCCAATTCAAATTCAACAGCAATAAAAACCCACTTACTAACATTCTGGTGAATATTTTTGAATTGGAAAGTTGTCTTGAGAGGAGTTTACCTTCAGCAATTAACAACCAAAATTCTGATTAGGGCATTCTCCTCTGAATGAGGCAGCAATTATGTTTGGATTTTTTTGACAAAATCTTGATTTTTGTTTCCAAAATGTTTTTTTTTTGTTTTTTGACTGCAAAAACATCTCAGAAAATTTCACAAAAACCTCTAGGAGGTTGTTTTAAAGGGGAAAAAAATTAAAATTTGCTTATGGGATTTGATTACAGTCCTTATGGGATTTGATGAAATCCCTTATGGGCTCTATCCTACTGTAGGGCCTTACAACATACAGAAAGTTCTCCAAGTTCAACCTGGATACAAAATATCGATTGCTGATAAGTGATAAAATAGCTGTGCAATTTTATAAGGGACTTAGTTAAACGACTCCCAGAAATTGAGCTCCGACTCACAAATTCCTGGGATGTTGAGAGGACCGTCTGCTAACGGTCCTCAGGACATCCAAACCCAAAATTGGGAGTCAGAACTACAGCCAAGAGGGATTCCTCTTGGTTGCTGAGAGCTGTACGGCTCTCTGTGACCAAGAGGAATCTCTCTTGGTTGCTGAGAGCGGAAGACCCTCTGTGACCGAGAGGAATCCCTCTTGGCCGCTGAGAGTTGTACATCGGCCGCAGAGAGCAGTACACTCTCAGTGGCCAAGAAATCACTCTTTGTGACCGAGAGGGATTCCTCTCAGCCGCTGAGAGTGTATGCTCTCACTGGCCAAGAGAAATCACTATTGGTCACAGAGTGTACAGCTCTCGCCAACCAAGAGGGATTTCTTGGCCACTGAGAGTGTAATGCTCTATGCGACCAAGAAATCCTCTGGGTTGGCAAGAGCTGTACACTCTCTGTGACCAAGAGGGATTTCTATTGGCTGCTGAGAGTGTACTGCTCTCGCCAACCCAGAGGTATTTCTTGGTCGCTATATAGAGCAGTACACTCTCAGTGGCCAAGAAATCCCTCTTGGTTGGCGAGAGCTGTACACTCAGAGGCCAAGAGGAATCCCTCTCAGTCAGTGAGAGCTGTACACTCAGCGGCCAAGAGGAATCCCTCTCGGCTGGCAAGAGCATACACTCTCAGCGGCCAAGAGGAATCTCTCTTGGCCGTCGAGAGTTGTACACTCTCAGCAGCCAAGAGAAATCCCTCTTGGCCGTTGAGGGCATCTTTCCAGTGCCAACTCCCGACCCCCCTAAGGTTCCTGGAGGATTGACTCCCAAAAACCCCGGGGGGTTCTTATTTTTTTATTAGGGGAGCAACTCTCAAACCTATTGAAGGTTTTGGAGGTCCGACTCCCAAGGACGTACTGAGGAGCGTCCGCAGACGTTCCTCGCAATGTCCCAGAAATTTGGTAGTTGGAACTCCAATTTCTGGGAGTTGTTTAATTAAGACCCATTTATAATTGAATTGTGCTGGAAATTTTTTTGGTTCCTTTTTAAATTTCACTTCCTCTCAAAAATAATATAGAATAATTTTGAATTTTAGAGATTCTGACAGGAAAGAGATGAGGATTTTGAGAAAATGGCACAAAAAAGGAGTGGGCCTTTTTTGGGAAAGGTTCACGGAAAATGAGTGGAAGAACAAATAATTTTCATTCACAAGTAGATAGCCAGATTAAATAGACTAAATACAAGTGGGCCAAACTGTGGTTGAGGCAAAATGAATAAAAAACAGAATGTTTAATAAAAACTAAGAGATAGGATAATTTGAGTTCTTGGAAGAAACAATCTTGGCCGGACTTCTCAGTCTCTTTTAGTCAGAAAAGAAAAGTTAATCAAGAAAAATCAGAAATTCTAGCCTAAATATTTAGAGGCGTTAATTCCAAATAATTAGTTTTTAGAAATCAAATAGTGAAATGGTAAAAGAAAGGAATCAATCATAAATACAGGAGTTGTTTGTAAAATTGCTATTCATAGTTCTAATTAGACTGCAAAAAGTGCATAAGATTCAACAAAAAACCAGAAGTGAAAGACTACAATTCAGCCTAGATCAACATGACCCATGAAAGAAGAAAGGGAGAAAAATAAAGGGAAAAGAGGGTGATTTTGGGAGAAGTAGAGCACAGGAGTTAAAAACTCAACAAATAAAAATCAAATCAAAAACAGTTTATAATTTCTGCCTGAGTTACTTCTACAAATCCATAAAATCAAGGTGCTAGACTGTCTACACCTGAAATTGTCAAAAGTTAAACATCTGATGTATTGCAACAAACACATCAAAGAAAGGGGTTTGAAAAACAACTCCCAAAATTAGGGGATTTCTAGGGGAGTGTTCTGTAAGTTTTCTTGTTAATTACCCAGGAAGGTTTGGGAATAATTCTATTTTTTCCAATCAAATTCATTGTTATTTTTTTGGATTCTGAAAGTTGGCTTATATGGAGGCACTGGAAAGCCAAGTGAGCCCAAAAAGTCCAAAAATTAAAACCCATTAATTTTTGAAAAAGAAAAATGAATAAATTGCCCATAAATGCACCAGAACATTATCAAATAATACAATACTCAGCTGAATCCCTATCTTCAAGGGTCATACATATTGTGGGTAGCATCGGCCTCTCTATCAATTGAAAACACCAACTGACACATCTTCCTTGGGATAGTACTGCAGCAATGTTGATGACTCATGGCATTGGCAAGATTCAGTTGATTCAAGAATCCTTTGATCAATTTTCTGGCTGCAAATACTGCTGTTGTCATGTTTTTTTCACAAGGTCAATCATAAATATCTCTATTTCTCTTCTTTTTATGAGTGACCAGACTTGAATACTCACAACAATGATTCCAGGAAGATAATTCTAAATCTAAATTCTCAATGAGACAGGAAAAGATGCAAGAGGATTTCATGATTCAGATGAATGACTAAGCAGCTAAAGAGTCTCCCAAGTTGTTGGAATTTCACTTTTCCTCTATCTGGTCCTTTGTTTTATTTCACTGATATGTCACTTGTTCTCTATTCAATGGTCATAAATGTTTCTTCTTTTTTTTATTCATTATGCATCATTGTCTGCTGACTGCTCCCACAACTTTTGAATCTTTTATCTAGACTATTTAAGCACCTCTAGATATGAAGAAAAATCAAAAACATCAGTCCAGCTTATTTCTTATCCTAAAACCATCACTTAATCCTCAACTTATTCTTATCTTGAGAGCAGTTCGTCCCTCTCAAATAAGTATCTAAGATTTCATTCAGACTTTTGTCTACTGTTGGAGTAGCTAATATTCCCCCTATCACACCCTGAATTTCATCACAAGTTGATTGTTCTCCAGGCCATCTGTTGGATTGCCCCAATCATTGGCTCTGCTGGGATTGATTAAGAAGTGATCATCCTTAGTTCCCTGATTTTTTGTGCCATGTTTGGCAGCCCTGGATAATTTAATACACCCTGGTCAGAATGACAGGTGTAATGAAATTTTTTAATTATTTTGGCTTGCTTGGCACTTCAGGAGCACAAAAAAAATCATGTCTCATTTGTAACACTAGTGCCTCAATTTTTGGTAGACTAAAATCAGATCCACAAGTGGCAGTTTTGGGAGTTTTTTCACCAGTTATGAGCTGTAGAACATGGGGGATCAGGCAGTTTGAGTTTGCATATGGATTTGTGTGCTAATGGCAGATCCAGATGTTTTTCTTGAAGGCAAATCTACAGAAAATGTCATAAACTTCTGAGATTTTCTGGAAGAATCTGAAAGGTGGTTACAATAATTTATGCTCTTTTCTGCCAGATAGTTTTGAGAGTTCCAACATTATATGGCATTTTCAATACAAATTGTCTTGGATGAAGTGTTGATTTATAATTTTATCTTTTGGAATTTTAATTTCTGATGAATATGATTCATCCTTGAATGATTACTCCTTCCTTTTACTTAAACTATATTATGTATTTCTTGTTGTCTATTCTCTGCCCTGATGCAGTCATTTCAAGCTAATTTGCATCAGAAATGACACTTGTGAAGGTAACGATCACAGCAAAATTTATATATGAACAAAAGTTAAAATCTCGTTGACTTATTCAAAATATTGCGACGACGTCAAAGACCACCTTGAAGGCCTGGTATTTGGGTTTTTGCGGAGACATCCCTTGGCTTTTTTAAATGATTGAATTTCACCGGGTGCGTCTTAATGATTTTTTTTCACATGTATATACATACAAAGCTGAGTAGCTACTTCTTTATTTATACAGATAAGCAAACCAATAGTTTATTTATGTACAAGACCAGGCACGTATTACACGTCTTTGTTGGTTGAAATACTGACACTAAAAAAAAGCTATGTAACAGATAATAACCAAATTCAAATGTTGTTTTTCTGAGAAACTGCCGGGGCAAGGGAAAATGGAGGCGAGTAGGCACCGGGCACAAGTAAATGGACACTAAGAAAGGGTTTTTTGTCTGTTTATGTACGCATTATTTTCTCCGTCTTCTTTTTTTCGTTTACTCTTTGTTTGTCCAGAGTCTAAATTTTCCTTCCTAAGAGCCGAAGGAGGTTGCCGTCGCAACTGAGGATCAGCCGCTGTTCGTATTGCGATGTCGATGGCAAGAAGGGATAGTATTCATTGAATTTGTGTAGCAATAGCTGGTGGAAGCTTAAAGTCGAGTGCAGTTCACTCATCGCTTTCTGGGTACGAGGCTTCGAAGCACATAGTATTTTCAGCGAAAAATTGAAGGACTACGTACCGACGAGTGGGGAACAAAATAACGAAATAAGGGTTAGAGACTCAGCTTGATGAATTATATGATGATTGGAAAAACGTACCTTCACGGGGTGCATGCACAGCACCGCGCCGAGGGCCAATGACCAAAGCTTTCTTTTCACCACTAGCAACTGGAACATAGTGTCCTTCACCGATCATGGCGAGTAGCTTGACGTAAACTTTGTCGGTGCGAGGGGTACGAAACTGCCGAACATCCTGAACCTCGTCCATGTCCTCGATTTCTTCCAATTCGAGTTCAACACCTAAATCCAAAAACCGAGCAGCAAAATAATCCGCCGTTTCGACCGCGCTCTGATGCGAACCACGAGACCCTACTGAGCCTCCAGGAACAGGTGCATGGCTCAGAGTAACTTCCCCACCACCCCAGGGGTTCACAGGGTCTGAGAGAGGCATTGAGAGAAATGAGTTTCATTAGGTTGATTGAAGATAGTCTCATAAGGGAAGAAAATCTCACCTGCGGTACCATTCACAATGCAAATCGGTACAGCATCATTGAGAAGAGTGGCACAATCCGAGTTATCTTCTGTCGGAAGGTTGGCGCAGTGGACAGCCACTCCGGCAATGTAGCGTGACCCGAGCTCGAGTGCAAGACGATAGCACATGTGCCCACCATTGGAATAACCGGCGATGAGTGTGCGCTGCGGGCAGGTAGACCAATTCTTGGCAGAGTATTGAATGATTGACGTGGTGAATCCGACATCGTCAATGTTTTCCATCTTTGCCGGATACGCTGCTGCTTTCCGTGAGCTAGCAGAAAAGAAACTCTTAAATGTCGGATACAATTTCCGCAACAGGAGCTCCTCAAGCAGAGATCGAAACTTACTCATTCCAGTTGCCTTTGTATCCACTGGGATATGCTACAATAAAACCCATCTCGGCCGCCAGTTTATCGTAAGCCATAGCAGTAGTCCGACTGCGGAAGATAGATCCGTTTTCCGTTGAGCCGTGGAAAGCTATCAAAAGGGGAACATTCTGCTTTCCTTGGACACTTTCAGGAACAAAAAATAGGACGGAGCGTTGTGAATGACCATCCGCACTCGGTTTAAACTTTTCGCAAGGACCAGATTCAAAGACTGAGGGTATGACCGAAGATTGGACCGTAAGCTCAATGTCGAATAATTTTCCTGGTGCGCCAGATGCAGGAGTGCTCATAATGGACGATAAATCAAATAAGAGATTGTATAATATAAAGTGAAAGGACGGTGCTATTGGAGGAAAGTGAATGGAATGGTGCTCCTAAATGAGTACAGCTTCGAGCTGGTTAAATGAGAAGTAATTTGCAGTAGGAGACAACCGGGTTAGATGAGGTGGTCTTATATGTAGAGCGCAAATTTATAAAATCCAAGGTGATTTCCGAAAGTTGGACTTTGCACCACTTACCTAACTTCAGGGCACGTTGTGTCTTGGCCAAGGGTATTCTGAATTGCCAAGAAGCTCGATGGATTAATGCTGAGAGTTGATGAGCTAAAGAAGCGCTTTCTAGAACGTGTGGGGCGCGACACAATGGGCAAAACAAGCGAAAAAAGGAAGGCAATTGAATCTGAAGATACAAACAATTAGCAATGAGAAGGTTTTTTTTGGAATCCAAGTCCAATAAGCTTCCAGCCAGTGGGAGCTAAAATTGGTATGAATTTGGATGAGGGAGGAGAGTGGGCGTGTGGTCGTAACTTGTACTACGAATCTCAGAATTCGCGGGCGTCAATTTTATTATTTTCAAGGGGATGTTCCACAGGGCAAAAATCACGATAAAGGGGGATATGAGCCCTGGAACCGATTAGTATCAGTAAACAGGTAGGTTAGCCATTGTTGGAGTAATGGGGATTCAAGAGATTTCGGAAGTCAAGCCACACCTGCCTTTCACTCCAGTTCCGCCACCGGGGTCGGGACCACAATGGGCACAATAGAAGAATCGGGTCGATCTCAAATCCCAAAACAGTACCAACCAAGGGAGTCAACCTAGCTAATTTTGTGTTTGGCTCCAGACAGAAGTACAATACTTTGTAAGATTGGCAGATGAATGTGTAGCAAGAAATACTCCGTTGGGTATTAGATTAGGCGAGACATAGAGCCTGAATAGAGCCTATTAATTAGGAAAGGAGTCACCTCGAATCAAATTCGCCATTTACAACCGTCATCAGGGCAAGCAGTTTGCACTGTACCCGATTGTTAATCGAGGGTATCTTCCAGGCTTCACAGCTGTTAGCGTCAGAGTAGAAAACGCTTAGCAATCGACCCGGTAGTCGAAATCTATCTAGGTCGGTTGCCTGGCAGTGGCACCTGAATATATCAAACCGAGGTATCACATTGATTTCGGAATTTATTCTGCTATGTATGCCAAATATTGAACCTTCCAGCAAAATGCGATGTAATTGAGCAACTTTCACCGGTGACTATGTACAGTAGACCTTGATGTTCACCATGGAATCGGAGTCTTGAAATGTTCAAACACCCAGCTACCAACGTTGATTTCACAGCCATTTGTTATCGATAATCCGTACTTTGCATGTTTGAACAATTCGCCAAGTGCCAAAATAGTAATAGCTTCAACTTCAAGCACCAAAATAGGGAAATGTGCAACATGCTTTTACTAATTTGATTTCCAGCTCGTAGAATCAAGTTACCGCACGTCTCAGTTACCATCCCCACAAACTATACAAACATACAGCGGCCAAATCAAATTTGGTGTCTTGCAAAGCTGCACAGGTTACCTAAGCTGGCTGGCCTCCCAAAAGATGGTTTGCTAAATCCTGGGTTGTTCCTCTTGTGTTTTTATTTTCTTGCTTCTCAGCCTTGATACCCTCTCTCAGGTTGCCCAAGATATTTCGGTGTCTGTAATGTTTACTTCTCACCAAGGAGGGGATTCCTTGGCGATCCAGTACAACACATAGACCAAGCAATAATTTTCCTTGCTGATCTGGCCCATCTTATGCCTGTGTAATACAGTTCCCCCTTTATATTTAAAAAGATGAACAAATTAATTTTTCTTCATATGTGGGCTAGGAGTGCATCAGAAATAAAATGTCTAGACAGCACAAACCCTGGCCACAGTATGACACTATGTATCCCCCAAATATTGGGAGTCAATCCCCCAAACCCGCAAACCCATTAGCCGGTTTGGGAGTCAGATTACCAAGATTTTTGAAGAAAAAATGAAACCCCCAGTTTGAGAACCCCTTTGGGATGGGTTGGACATCCTTGAGGGGGAAATAACAATATGATATTCTAACTAAGTAATACTACTGTTTCAGGTGGTTTGGAAGACCTGTGCTTCTATTTACTACAAAAAAATCGTGAAAACAAATTATCTTATTGTTGTGGTAAAACTTGGTGATGGAGAAGACTTTATATGTACTAGTCTCTATCAGACCTAGATCATTATGTAACACAATGCAAGATGGTTATACAACCTTTACATGGTGAATATGAGTGTAAAAACAATTCAAGTGGAAGATTTTTGTGTGGTTTATGGTTTTATGGTGATTCTGGATAAATAGTGAAGTGGTTCGTTGCTTTTGTTGATGTGGTTGTTGACGTTGTTGGGGTTAGTTTTGTTGCTGGTTTTGACTAGACATAATTTTGATGACCACTTGAGCTTGCTGTCTAGGAGCTGGGCTTCTCAGCGATGATGGGAGAATTGGTGAAGGATATGCCTCTTTATATATTCTTTTCTGAGTTATTTTTGCAGGTGGTGATGTGGTTGAAGTGATTTTGCATGTGGTGAGCTTGTGGGTTGCACTGCCTCCTAAAAAGTGTTGAAATTTTAGGACTCAAGAAGGGAAGAAGGTTGAGGGCCAAAAAAGGATGAACCCTTTTTTGGGAAAGGCTCACGGAAAATGAGTGTAAGAGCCGATGATTTTTATTCACAATTATCTAGTCAGGTTTAAATAGACTAAGTACAAGTGGTGAACAAGTGGTTTTGAGAAATGAATAGAAAAAGCATATTGAATAAAACACTGAGAGGAAGAAACATGAGTCTTGGAAGAAACAAACTGGACAAGGCTTCTCAGTCTCTTTTAGTCTAACCAGATGAGTTAATCAAGAAAAACAAGCTTTAATCCACAAATACTTAGAGTTGTTAATTCTAATTAATCAGGCTTTAGTAAATCAATCAAGAAGATCAGGAAAGAGAAGAGATGATCGTAGAGACATGAGTTGTTGAGACAAGCTGATTACTTAGGGTTCAAATTTGACTCAGAAGGGGCTTAATAACAACAAAAAACAAGCTACTTGATGAAAATAATCTAGTCTGAATTTTGATGACTTGAAAAGAAAATGAAGTGATTTTGGGTAAGAGTAGACCAGAGAAGAGGAAAACTCAACAAAAAGGGTACATACATTGAGCTAATTATGCTGTGGAAATAACTAATTATGGTACTCCTGTGTGTAAGTATTGCAAGAGCTGGTTGCACTGCCTGGTGGAGGTTTTTTTTGTCCACATGCATTCATGCAAAGTTTGAATGAATCTAATTAAGTTACTAAGTGTAGGACTAATGATTGCACATGTGCATGCAAGAATTGCATAACTGATGTGCACTACTGTTGGAGGTTTGATGATTTAGTAAGTTATGTGTATCCATGTGTCTTGATATGGTAAATTACTCTTAAATAATAATTAATGGCTAGTTATGGTATGGCTTTAACCTTTATATTGGATTATCTTCTAAACTAATAGAGATAGAGGTATACACTTCAAAAGGGGTTGTATCGGTTACAACCCCCCGCAATAAGGTTGCCCGGAGGGGATCAATATAAGATTGGTCTGATTGACCGATTTTATATCAGTCGGGCCCACCAATACATTAGAACAAAGGAAAAATGTATCGGTGGGCCTGGCCGATATAAAATTGGTCAAGGAGACCGATCTTGTATCAGTCGCCTCGGGGGGTTGTAACCGATACAACCCCTTTCGCCGTGATAGTTGTAGTGAGTGACTATGGGTAAAATTGTATGTAGATTCTAATTATGCAATAGTATAGGGTCTTAGCTAATCGACTCCCAAAAAGTGGAGGATCGACTCCCAAACCCCAAAACCCCTGGAATTTCCACTGAAATCCCCGAGGAATGGGAGTTGATCCCCCAAACCCGTCAGCGGGTTTGGGGGTCGAAAAACCAATAATTTTAATCAAAAAAGGCCAACCCCCGAAGGAGTTGGGGGTCGATGCCCCAAAACCCACTGGGTTTTGGGTGTCGCTTACCAAAAAGAGCCCGCGACGGCCGGGAGGAATCCTCCCGGCCGCTGATGGCACAACCTCAGCGGCCAAGAGAAACACTCTTGGCCAATGAGAGTGTACACTTGAGTGTTTCTCCCGGTGTAGTGTGCCAGATGTGTTTCAAGTACCAAATTGCATAAAGTCATGATCCACTCTTGATTATAGGCTAGATTCTTGGTGTTATTATTACTTCATTAGACTCTACAGGTCATTTAACTAGAGATGGGCGGGGATAATCCGTTGCGGATATCCGCTATCCGGTGGCGGATATCCGCCAGGGCCAGCGGATACCCGCCAGGGGATGCGGATGTCCTTTCCCCCCCCAAATCCCGGCGGATATCCGGGTATCCCCTGGGATACCCAAGACCAATGGCCGGCTGGAAGGTTTCCTTCCAGACGGAAGGTCTTTCCAGTCGTAGAGCCATGTACCTCGCGACTGGAAGGTTTGCCTCCAGCAGCGAGGCATGTGCACGCCGGCTGTACTTACCGATTCAGCGGGCGTTAGGTTTCCCTCCCTCTACTCATGTCCAGCGAGAGTAATAATCACACCTTGAAAGCCTCTTTAGCTGGGGAGTCGGGTTTCAGAGATTTCAGATGCAGACCACCCCGAACGCAACAACCAGACCCGAGCAGGAAACACTTATCAAACGAAGTACTTACTTTCCTGCCTTTCCCACTACACAGGGTCATTGGGGCATTAGGAAGAACTTCCCATAGGTTAGCAGATCTTTCGGCCTGTTTTCTTTCTCTGCACTCTCACCTTTTTCTTTTCTGTCTTAAC